GTCTCTTTGCTCTCTGCTTGTATACATTTATAAAACACTTTGATCCTCAACAACTTCATGTCCCTAACCACACTGTACATTCTGCAGGAGCCATGTACTATTTTTTTTTCCTGAAACACGGATTGCTTTTAAAGACGACTTTTCTTTGACTCAGTTTCAACTTCCTTATTGAATGTGGTAAATGAAAGAGGCAAGGCATGGACTGGAGCTGGAGTTCATCGGTGGTACAGCGTTTTCCTAGGTCTAGCTCCAGTACAACGGTGGGCGTTTATTTTAAAGTGTGTTACATTTGTTTATGCTGTAGAACATTTTTTAATTAATGATGCAAAGATGTGGTGTATTCTTTTGTGTTGTATTTAACTCCCTGAGGCCTGCCTAAAACACCTGGTGATCTAATAAAGAGCTCAACAGTCAATAGCGAGGCAGGAGAAAGGATAGGTGGACCTGGCAGGCAGAGAGAATAAATAGGAGGAGAAATCTAAAAAAAGAAGGAGCAAGAAATGGAAGGAGGGGTGAATGCTAGGGACCAGCCACCCAGCCAGCCATGGAGTAAGAGTCAAGTAAGAGAAAGGTAAAAGCCCAGAGGTGAAAGGTAAATGGGTAAATTTAAGAAAAGTTGGCCATCAACAAGCCAAGCAAAGGCCGGGAATTTATAAGAAGAATAAGACTCCATGCATGTGATTTATTTGGGATTTTGGGGGCAGACCCCTCCCCAAAAGAACAAAAGAGCCCAAAGAGTAAAAAAACAACCAACTACATACAAAAGCAAAGAGGCATAGAGTGGAGTTATGCAGAAAAGCCAAGAGGAAAAGAGGAGTAAAGGATGTCTAGTCCACCAAGCACTTAAGAGATTTCCCTGGGAACCCAGTTGTCTCAGGGTTACTATTGCTATGATAAGACACCATGAACACCATAAGCAACCTGGGGAGGAAAGGGTTTGTTTGATTCACAGTTCCATGTAACAGTTCATCGTCAACAAAGGGAGGGCAGGCACTGACTGAAGCATGGCAGGAATCTGGGGGCAGAGGCTGATGCAGAGGTCATGGAGGGGTGCTGCTTACTTGCTTGCCCCTCAAGACTTGCTCAGTCTGCTTTCTTATAGAACCTGGACCACCGGCCCAGGGGTAGTACCACCCTCAATGGGACCTCCCCATCTGTATGTTTGTATATACACTGCATGTGTGCTTGGTGCCTGTGGAGGCCAGAAGAGGGCATCAGATCCTCTGGAACTGGAGTTATAGAGAGTTGTGACCCACCATGTGTGGGGGGGTACTGGGAACCAAACCCAGGTCCTCTGTGAGAACAAGTGCTATTAACCACTGTCTTTGTTCTTTTTTTTTTTTATTGTTGACAAAACACTGTGACCTGGGGGCTAGAGAGATGGCTCAGCAGTTAGAACACTGACTACTCTTCCAGAGGACCCAGGTTAAGTTCCCAGTGCCCACATGACAACTCACAACTGTCTGTAACTCTAGTTTCAGGGGATCTGACACCTTCATACATACATGCAAGCAAAACACGAATGAACATAAAGGCATTCATTCGTTAAAAATAATTTTAAGAAAACACCGGGACTAAGGTAACTTACAAAAATATAAGTTTAATGTGAGGTTCTCAGTTGCAGAGTGTTAAGAGTCCATGGCCATCATGGCAGGGAACATGTGGAGTTGTTGGATCAGTAGCTAAAAACTTACATCCTTACCTGCCAATAAGAGGCAAGGAGACATAAACAGGAGTGCATGGGATTTTGAAATTTCAAAGGCAGCCCCAGAGACATGCGTCCTACAAAAGACCATGCCTCTTCATCACCCTCAAACAGTTCCACCAACTTGGGACCAAACACTCAAATATATGAGCCTATGGAAGCCTCAATTCCAACTATCACAACTGCTGAGCCATTTCTTCAGCCCCTAAATATAATTTTAAGAGTAAATTTTAGAGACAGTAGTGGTGGCACATACCGTTAATCCTAGTGCTTGGAAGGCAGAGGCAGGCAGATCTCTGAGTTTGAGAACAACCTGGTCTGTAGAGGGAGTTCAAAGCCAGCCAGAACTACAAAGTGAGACCCTGTCTCAAAACAAACAAGCCGGTGTTGGTGGTGCGCACCTTTAATCCCAGCACTCGGGAGGCAGAGGCATGCGGATCTCTGTGAGTTCCAGGCCAGCCTGGTCTCCAGAGCGAGTGCCAGGGCAGGCTCCAAAGCTACACAGAGAAACCAACCAACCAACCAACCAACCAACCAATAAATAAGTAAATTTTAGAAGAAAAAGAATGGATTCTGAGGGTGTTACTGTCCGTCCACAAGTGACTCCTGCAGCTGTGCAGTAGTCTTTGCTTGCCCTTGATGAGTGTTAGGCTTCTGTACTGGGGTTCTGACAGGATATGCCCTCAGCTGCATCCACTAAGAGCATCACCTGTGCCTATTCACTATGTTCCTTTTTAAAAGAGCCCTCATCCTTCTCTTTCTCTCCCTCTCTCTCCCACTTTCCTCTCTCCTGCTGCTCCTGTTCCCGGAGGCTGGTCTCCCCTCTCCCTTTTCCCCCTTTTACAAACCCTTTCCCTAATAAAAACAAAAACAAAAACAAAAAACCTTCCACTTGAACTCTGTTGAATGGTGTCTCTTTCTCCTACCGCTTTTTAAAAATTAAAACAAGGAGTTCCCACAGTGAATACTACCATAGACAACCTTACCCTCAGAGGTGTTGGCCTCTGTACTATTTACTTTTGTTCCTGTGATAACACCATGGCCAAAGTGTCTTATGGAGGAGTTTGTTTTGGCTTCCAGTTCCAGGTGAGTACATATCCCGGAGGTGGAGGCAGGGCAGCAAGAGCAGGAAACTAAGAGATCAGATTATCAACTACCAACATGGAACACGGAGGAAAACTGGAAGGGGCGGGGTTATAAACTCTCAAAAACCAATACCCCCCACCCCGTGATGCACTTCCAAAAGCAAGCTTCCACCTCCCCAAGCAGTGCACCAACTAGAGATCAAGTGTTCAAACACATGAGCCTCTGGGGCACATTTCCATCCACTAAAGCTGCCTGTGCCAGGATGGGAGCAGCCGATTCTGAGTCATCGCTAGAAGCCTATGGAGGACAGGGCCTCTCTGCAGAATTGGTTGGATTTGGCTGCCATTTCACTGGGTACTTGAAAAGAAAGGGAGAATTAGTGCACTCTTTCTGCTTTTTGCTAGCACTTATCTACCCACACACCTGGAGATCAAGATGCTTCGGGTAAGAGGAACCAGATCTCAATGTAAAGCCCCTGGTGAGATCATAACACTGGGAAGAAAGGAACATCTGTGGTGTTCAGGTGCCCTTGGCAGCACTTTGGAAGGTTCTAGCTAGGGAGTGCAGCTACTCGTGTATCTTTCTTGTTTTAGATTTTTTTTTTTAACGTGTATGATTATTTTGCCTGATCGCACTTGCCCCTGGCTTGCCCATCATGACAGTCTGCTTTCTTATAGAACTCAAGACCAGCCTAGGGATGGTACCACCCACAATGGGCTGGGTCCTCTGCCATCTGCATGTTTGTATGTGCACTGTATGTGTGTGGGAGGCCTGTGGAGGCTGAGTCCATAGTGTGTGCCTGAAGCCCAAGGAGGTCAGAAGAGCATGTGGGAACCCCTGGAATTAGAATTACAGTGGGTTGTAATCTTCCCTTTGGGTGCTAGGAACCTAACCTGGATCCTCTGGAAGAGCAGCGAGTGTTCTTAACTCCTGAACCACCTTTCCTGCCCGTTTGTTAACATTTCTCAAGGGGTATAATTTATAACAAAGGTAAAGAATTTTTCTGAGTAGACGAAGTTGTAAGGTGGCTTTCTGAGGGGCATTATTTTGGTGAGGAATGAGGAATGCAAGGAACACAAAGTCAAACTGTGTTACACTGTCTGGTAGCACTAGCTGCTTGAGTATGTTCTCTCTCTTTTCTGATATGTTTCCTGTAGTCCCTGCCAGCCTTCAGCTCCTTATTTAGCCTCAGATGACCTTGGACTCCTGATTCTTGTGGCTTCACCTCCAGAGGCATGCACTACTATGATTCACAGCCATTGTTTCAAATTATTATTTTTTTAAAAAAGATGGAAGTGGAGACAGGTAGATCTCGGAGTTTGAGGCCAGCCTAGTCTACAAAGCAATTTCCAGGAAAACCAGTGCTATACAGAGAAACTCTGTCTGGAAAACAATTTTAAAAAGCCCTCCGCTCACTCTAGTAGAATCCTTGTAGACCAAAAGGCAGTAGCTATGTGATTTCCAACCTTTCTAAAGTAGTTTTACCTCATTTATTTGTTGATTAGTTGTTTGATTTCTGTGGTACTTGAAATCTTTAAAAGCAAAGGTCTAGTAAAATGGTTAAATAGGTTAAGGCACTTGCCACCAAGCCTGATGATCTGAATTTTATTCCCTAAACCAACATGGTGAAAGGAGAGACCCTACTGTGAAAGCAGAAGGTTCACAACAAGTTCAAGGGCAAAGTGAGACTCTATCTAACAGAAAGAACAAAGGAATTACAGTGTCTTAGTCACTGTTCTATTGCTATGAAGAGACACCATGATCAAGGCAACTCTTAAAAGGAAAGCATTTACTTAGGGGCTTGCTTAGAGCTTCAGAGGCTTAATCTATTATTGTGGGAAGCATGGCAGCACACAGGCACTGGGAGCTATAGCCCACTTCTAGCAACACACTTCCTCCAACAGGGCCACACTTCCTAATCCTTCTCAAATAGGGTCATTCCCTGATAACTAAGCATTCAAATATATGAGACTATGGGGGCCCTTCTTATTCAAACCACCACAGAAAGGAAGGGGAGAAAGGCAGAAGGGAGAGGGAGGAAAATATCATTTTATTTATTGCTTATGTGTGGGCTCATTGTGCTGGTGTGGAGATCAGAGGACAGTTTCCACCAAGGGTTTTGGGGTTTGAAATCAGGTCACCAGGCTTTCATGGCAGATGATTTTACCTGCCGAGTCACCTTGCTGGCCCAGAAAACATTATTTTTCCCTGCCCAATGATCACATGCCTTTATTTTTGTATCAGCACTCCAGTGTTACTGAGGGGGAGCTATTCTAAATCACTTTGAGCAGGCTTTGCAGTAGGACGAACATTTCCTTCCAGCTTTGAGGGAGAGAGGGCATGGGGTCCATGCTCAAACTGACTTGCTTAGTCCATCCTTGGGTCACAAACAGTAGCTCTGAACCACGTGTACAACTCAACCCAGATCCCAGGGATGTTTGCTAGAACTTGTGGGTTGAGAGTGACTCCTTTGGTCCTAGAAATGTAACATTCATTGTAAGGTGACAGTTACAAACAGAACTCCTTGAGCGACATCCTATCTGAGAACAAAGCCCGAGAGTACAGGCATCATCTGGTAAACCCCAGATGCAGCCTGAGGCCAGTCTACTTCTGTAAGTCAGTATAGTCTCTTCCTCCCAACCAGTTTAGATGGGGTTTTATGTTCACTTGAACCAAGAAGGTCCTATATATAATAAAATTCACAGACTTTTTTCTGGAGGAATAGACTGTTTTAGGAGAGGCTAAGGCAATTTAAAAAGAACACAATGAAGGAGCTCTGTGAGATACCAGGCCTCTTCTAGTTACCAAGAGCACTCAGAGCTGCACCAGCAGCTTGGAAGTGAGGTGGACACCTCATCCACTCCTCAGCGAATTCTGTGGGTTTCCACGGGAATCACTATGTCAACAAATGTTTTGAGCACCTCTGTAGCTGGCACTGTTACACAATGAAAATATGGCACTGTTCAAATGTCATGGCATATCCCTTTAACCCTAGCACTTGGGAGGCTCAGGAAGGAGGGTATCTGTATTTTCAAGGCTAGCCTGGTCTACCTAGCAAGTTTAGACTAACCAATATTAAATAGTGAGACCATGTCAAGAAAGAAAGAGAGGGGAGGAGAGAGAGATATAGGGAAGGAGGAAGAAAAAAGAAAGCACACACCACACTAGTAAACAGGAGAAAATCCCTGCCCTCTTGTATCTCATTGTCTTAATTAGGGATTCTACTGCTGCAACGAAACACAAGTTGGTTAGGAAAGGGTTTAATTGGCTTACACATCAGCATTGCTGTTCATCATTGAAGTCAGGCCAGGAACTCAAACAGGGCAGGATCCTGGAGGCAGGAGCTGAGGAAGAGGACATAGAGGGAAGATGCTTCCTGACTTGTTTCTCATGGCTTGTTCAACCTCCTTTCTTTCTTTCTTTCTCTCTCTCTCTCTTTTTTTTTTTTTTTTTTTTTTTTGGTTTTTCGAGACAGGGTTTCTCTGTGTAGCTTTAGAGCCTATCCTGGCACTCGCTCTGGAGACCAGGCTGGCCTCGAACTCACAGAGATCAGCCTGCCTCTGCCTCCCGAGTGTTGGGATTAAAGGCATGCGCCACCAACGCCCGGCTCAACCTCCTTTCTTATAGAACCCATGACCACCAACCCAGGGGTGGCACCACACACCTTGGACCGGGTCTGCCCTCACTGATCACTAATTGAGAAAATGCCTTACAGCTAGAACTCATGAAGGCGTTCGTTCCTCAACTGAGACTCAAGCCTTTCTGATGACTCTAGCTTGTGTCAAGTTGACACACAAAACTAACCGGTATACTCATAGTCTCCCATTTATGGAAAAAGAGAAACAATTTTAAAGTAATGTATTGAGTTGAAAGGGAGAGATATAAAGCAAGGAAGAAAGGGACAGCAGGGCTGGTTCTAATATATCAGCGTGAACAGCTCCAGCACCAAGAGGTTGAATCACCTAACCCAGGCCACCTAGAAAGTGGTAAGATCAGAACTGAAAAATAAAACTTTGATCTCTCCCAGGTTAGACTGTCTCCCAGCCCAGGAGCGTTTTAGCTGGTAAATCCCTCACTTTTCCTGGACTAGTATTTCCTCTGGGGAGTTTCAACATTACTTACTATACCCTCTTTTCCCAAGTGTTGCCTTGCCGCCTCTGCCATGGTGCTGTTCTGGTTCTCTTTCCCTTCCTATCCCCCTTTGACTCTTCTTTTCACAGCTTGAATACAAGTTATTAAATAACCCAACTCAGGGTCACTATACTGAACTTCTATAGGGTTTACTATTCATATCATATGAACGACCCATTTGAATTGTGCTCTTTTCTCACCCATAATTCTGACTTCAGTTCCTTCCCCTTCTGCTATCTTCCCAAAACTTCATGGGCAGCTTTTGCCATGAACCATTAAAGAATGTTGTGCAACAACCTCAGTTGTTCAACCATTCAGCCCTGTGATACTCTCTGGGCCTCTCAACGCTCATAGGCAAATAGGACAGAAATAATGAATTTTTTTCCACCACCAATGCACAAATCCCCTTACTAGATGACCTCTTTGCTTCTCATTGATGTTGAGAAATATCAGTGTTAGTTTAAAAACAACTCGTAAGTTTCTTATCATTCTAAAAGCTACTATTTTACTATTACATCTTGATGTGTGTGCCAGGCTAGGTTGGCATTTCTTCAGTCATTCCTTGATACAATGTTATGAAGTGGATTATTACCATAATCATTTCCCTAAAAGTTTTAAAGAGGTGATATGACCTGTATAAGGTCACAGTTAGGAACAGGCAGAGGTAGACTTTGAATCAGGTCCATTGGACTTCAAAGCTCATGTGACTGGTCCACAAACAGCCTTCCAATATCTGCTAGTTCTGTGCTGAATAGAAAGCTATATTAGGACTAACTTATGTTTCAACCAAGTTTGCAAAAACTCCATATACACAGTTGGAATTAATGTTCATAAGTCTGAGAAGGTAAATTCATTATGCTGTCCTTATATTTAGATACAAAGAAAGATAAGTAATATGTGAATGCAAAAGATAAATCCAGATTCCAAATGCAGTTCTTGGTTCCTCCTTGGTTACACATTACCTGCCCTAAGTGTTGTCCAATACAGACCAGGTGCAGGGCAGGAGCAACACCTTTTCTCCATTTTACTTCTGTGTAGCCCGACTGGCACTGAAATACTTGTTCATCTGTGTAATAAATATTGAGCACTGGTACATGCCAGGCTCTGGAAATAAAATTAAGAACAAAGGCCATCTGGGTTCCTGAACCCAGCCAGAGTTTGACATTCCCAACTGGCAAAGACAGCTTCCCAGTGACAAGGTATCATAAGGCAATGGGTAGAAAATACGAATGAAGTGACTTTAGAGTAGTCAGAGAAGCCATTAAAAAATTGTTTTTTGGACAAGTGTTTCACCATGTAACCCCGTCTTACCCAGAATTCACCTTGTAGACCGGGTTAGCCTTGAAGTCACATATCCACCACCTGCCTCTGCCTCCCAAATACTGGATTAAGGGCCTGTGACCCTGAGGGGTCACATTTTGTGGCTGTTGCTTTGTTCTTCCGGTATTCGGGACTGAACCCAGGGACTTAGTGAATGCTGGGAAGTGCTCTACCCCTGAGCCGTGATAAATGCAAAACAGGACCCGCAGAACTCATTGTTATGCCAGACCCAGATAGTATCCGTTGGCCATTAGACGGGACAATTCTAACGGGAAACACCCCTTGAACTTTACGTCGACAAAGCCTGAGAGCGTATGAAGTATAACCGAGTTCTCCCAAATTAGTCCTCTGCCCTTGCCTTTGCCGTCAGGGTCACCACCCCCCGCCCCCACACACACACCCATCACCACTCCCTCGCAACTCCTTCCGGACACTTCCGGCCTGCGCAAGCGCAAAGAAATGGCTCTTCCTAGGGTCGCGCGGAGCCCACTCGGAGACGCATGCGCGCCCCTCCCATAAGCCCCGCCCCGGGCACCCCTCGCCCCCCCCTGCCGTTTCTTTGGGCGGGACAGTGGGCGGGGCCTGAGCGGGCGGCGCGTGGCGGGGGGGCGAGGGGAGGCC